CAATCCCAGAAATTTATTTATTTGAATTCATTACTTTACATTATAATTATTAGAAGATGGGTAGGCTATACATTTGTTTTTACACTTGAGATTTTAAATATTGAAAAATACACAAGTATTAAGATTCTGAAGACATTAGCAGATTAGGTACATATCAGCAACATCAGCTAAATCATTGATTTCAATTCTTTTTTTTCATTGATTTCAATTCAAAACTCAAGGTTGTGAGCATTGTAATATAATCGGATTAGGCAGATGAATTTCTCAACAATGATTAGTTGTTTCTAAGCAGCGCCCAGCCTACTGCTCTCCGATTAGGACATTTCAAAATTATATATGAATTTCAGTCCATTGCTTTGGGAAAAAAATCAGTTCATCATTCAAATCAACGAAACATTATAGGAATCAAACCTTTAAAGTTTCTCTTATGCTCGGATTGTGAGAAGCTTCAAAGTAGTTACCGGGCGCCTTTCCTAGGTTGAATACTTCCGGCTAACAGATTGACGGTGTCTGCGATTTTGCTTGAAGGGTAGACAAGTACTGAAAATGGGGGAGAGGTGGACAGTATGAGGGAGAAACTGGAGGATGCTGTGTTTGTATGGTGTTCGTCGCTGTGGAGGTTTTTATCAATTGAATTTGGGATGGAAGTGGAATCGAGAAATGATGTATTCTGATGGTCGGTACTCGGTAAGGGAGATGTTCGATGGAGAAGGGATGTGGACTATGGAGGCTTCTGGAGTTGTGGAAGAATACCGGTGGAAAGAGTTATAAGCTCAAAAAAGATTACCCCTGCTATTCATCAGCCCACAACTATGTAGTACTACGTATTATATTTGTTACTCCATATGTTTTTAATGAATTGATAATTCGATTTTGTTATAAATAGAAAAAATCAAAATAAGTGGTTCCAAATTTTAAATTGGCTGATCAATAACATAAAGTGTTATAGGTAATTTTTCTAATCGTAATACTCCTTTTGCTAAAGCTAAATATGTTGTATTTGATTTAATTGGTGAAAAGAGTTAATCCAAATGGCTGAATTGATTTGAATATGATTATTTCCAATCAGTAAAATATGTATAATTGTAAAAAGAGATAATTCAAAAATAAAGGCAAGCAATCGCTCTATTAACTACGGGTAAAAAATAGTAAAGTATCAAATTAAAATTTTATGGACCCTTACTCAAAATCTGTTTGTGACTCTGTTTTTTTGCCTTATCAGACTTATCAATCAGAATTTACAAAGAAGTCTTTCAGAATTTATATATAGTTTCACTATGAACACTTATTATTTTACTCCCCACTTCATAGTTTAAAATGTTATATCTCTCTTTTAATATTTATATTTGACTGTGCCAAAATAAATTACATTAACACTTCGTTGGTGATGTTAGAATTTCTCTTTAACTACAAACGTTTTGATGGATTCTAGGTATCCAAGTATATATAAAATGGGAGAGATTTGAGCATATAGAGAGGAAGATGAATGAATAGTGGTATTGAGGGTTATGTTCTAGGGTTACAAATGGCTCCAAGAGGAGTATAAATAGGGAAATAATGGGTCGGGCCGCTAATATGGGCCCGGTAGCCCAACTACATAAAAGACTAATCTAGTACATAGTTACATACAAATGACATATAAGCAGTACAATGATACAAATGATATCCGTAAGATGTGTGTGGGCCGCTGTCCGGGCCCAATAGTCATGAGACCCGGGGGTCCGAGTCTATATACTCTATCAGGAGTCCCCCACTCTCTGAGTCGAGAGTATTCGAGGCGAAAGAGAGTAGAACTGTGTGCTGATCTGTCGTCGTCTGGTGAGTAAACTTCATTAACAAAAATTTGAATTTCTGATTCTTTGGTTAACGGAGGCGCTAAGTCCCCCGCTCTTCCAGTCCCCCACTCCTTGAGGCGAGTGCAATGAGGTGAAGAGGAGTAGAGTAATGCGTGTTGGATGATGTCTTCAACAGGGGGCCGAGGGTTGACACCTTTTAATCCACGATGGGGAGATGCCTCGTTAAAAACCTCATTAGGAAAAACTCTGTGGGAAAAAACCCTAATGAGGGAAAAAGAGTACATCGGATGCCCCCAAAATGAAACAAAAGGTGCGAGCCCTTCGACCTGGAGATGGAGCTGCAGCGGTGCCCGTCTGCTGGATGGTCGAGGCCGATCTCTAGATGTAGGTAGCTTATCATGATCAGTAGTCCTAGTCATCAAATAAAGATGACTAAGGGATGGGTCGAGCGACCGTCCACAATATGATGTCTGGTTCATCAAATAAAGATGACCAGAACGTAAGGCCGATGGGCCGAGAGACCTGTACGAGAGCTCCACGTTGTCGCATAAGGACGACGAGGCGATGTATGGCCGAGGAACCTGCATAGAGCTCCACGTCGTCAAATAAAGACGATTGGGCGATGTGTGCGGCCGAGGGGCCTGCATAAGAGCTCCACGTCGTCAAATAAAGACGACGGGGCGATGGTGTGGCCGAGGGGCCTGCATAAGAGCTCCACGTCGTCAAATAAAGACGACGGGGTGATGGTGCGGCCGAGGGGCCTGCATAAGAGCTCCACGTCGTCAAATAAAGACGACGAGGTGATGCATGGCCAAGAGGCCTATATGAGAGCGCCATGTCATCAAATAAAGATGACGGGGCGATAAAATGACCGATATGATGTCATCATTTAGTTGCACCTATGCATTCAAATAAAATTGTTATAATTTCTTGAGCTTATAATTTGCTATTGAATTTGGGTCTAAATTAAGTTGCCTCAAATTTCCAAGCTACACCTCAAGCTAGGTTTCTATGCTTAGTTGGAGCGTGGCACGCATAAAGGACTGAACCTACCGCTGAGGGATTGCAGTTCATTTCCGATAGCTAGAGGCACACATAACTCGTACAAAACATGGAAACTAGAGTATGCATTTGATAACATTTGGATTGGGAGCTTACTATCCACACTCGTTTGACGTGACCCGGTGGCGCGAGTATGTGTGCTCGCCCGGTGTACGCGAGTGCTCGGAATTCATAAGTCCGTTTTTTCAATGTCAAAAAATACACACTATTTAAAAAATAATGATAGTAAATTAATAATCTAGCTCAACTTGTCACTCAAGTTCGTAGTTACGATCCGCTGGACGCTATTTACGGGTCTTTTCACGGATGACTCGGCCCTCGAGATTGAAGTTTGATGCTATATTATTAAAATATTTCATTTATGATTTTTTTGTTTTGTAATTTTCTTTATCAAACAAGTTCACATGTAAATTGTATGGAGCTAGTTCCGGAATACTTAGCTCTCAATAAGTGTACTGTTTGGACAAGATGATCCGTTGAACAAGCCTGGCCCAACTAATATAAACTACCGTTGCTTGTGTGGCCCATAGTGCTAAACAAGTATGGATCCAAAATTCTCTAGCAGGAAGTTGACAGCCATGAAGCTCCTTCCGCTTTCTCTTGAGAGGAGAACCCTTCCGCCGGTGTGTCATGGACATAGATGACCCTCGGAGAGATCTGTTGGACGAGAGAAAACTCGCCGGGAGCCGCCGTCTGAGAGGGGGTTTCGGACCTGGGTTGTGTCGACAAGGGTTTCACTGAAGTTCGTCGTCTCTGCCCTTAGGGGGGCGGATTCATGTTTGTTTATGGTTTTCTCCGGTGGGGACCTCCCATGTGTTGCAGCTTGAGCTGCATTTGACCTGACCATGGCGGGAGGCGAATGGCGTGAAAGTGGAGCGAGTTTTCATTAGCCGTTGCCGACAAGCGACGAGCGGTGGTGATGCAACCCTAGCGAGCTGCTTTTCTGACAGGTTCGAAAGAAAGGCAGCACCGCCGTTCTGACTCAGGCGAGGAGCTCCATGGATCCAAACAAGTATCGCGGCTAGGTACCTTGTCCGTGGGGCCGGTGCGGCCATGAGCTGAAGCCAGGGATTGGCGGGCCTAGTGGCACTGCGACGGAAGAGGAGCAGAGAGCTGCAAACAGAAACACCAAAGCAAAGTGTAGTCATGGAAGAGGAGCAGAGATCTGGAAAAAATCCAGATGTATTATTCCAGATTTCTTTGGCTTATTTTTTATGAATTTTTCTCACTGATTTTGACTAATTTCTAATGGATTTTGGATGTTTTGGGAGGATTCCTCACTTGATTTTGCTCACACTCTCAACGAGAGCACCATTGATGGATTATAGGTATCCAAGTATATATAAAATGGGAGAGATTTGAGCATATAGAGAGGAAGATGAATGAATAGTGGTATTGAGAGTTATGTTCTAGGGTTACAAATGGCTCCAAGAGGAGTATAAATAGGGAAATAATGGGCCGGACCGCTAATATGGGCCCGGTAGCCCAACTACATAAAAGACTAATCTAGTACATAGTTACATACAAATGACATATAAGCAGTACAATGATACAAATGATATCCGTAAGATGTGTGTGGGCCGCTGTCCGAGCCCAATAGTCATGAGACCCGGGGGTCCGAGTCTATATACTCTATCACGTTTATTATCTTAAGTACCACTTTATTTAGTCTGTGTTCAATTTATCATGAGTTTTTATAATACACTTCTTAATCACACTTTAGTGAAATTTCATTCACGCATCGCGCGGGTGAATATCTAGTATTGTACAAGAGTATGTTACCATTATCTTCATAGATGTTTATAAGATACTCCCTCCATCCCAATTTGATTTGGGAAATTTCCTTTTTTGGTTGTCCCAAAATGATTTTTCACTTTCTATTTTAAGTATGTAAATAAGAATAAAATGAAAAATTTATCCAGGACAGAGTGAGTATAGATTTTGAATAATACTCCGAATATTATTTTGAATTACAAGAACAAAAAAGTTGATGGAGATGCGGGGTATCGATCCCCGTACCTCTCGCATGCTAAGCGAGCGCTCTACCATCTGAGCTACATCCCCACATGCACGTTACGCTATCCTAGTTTAATAAAATCGGAGTAAATACCGAAAGGAAGCTCTTAACAGGGACGCCACGTAAGCACGGATGATAACCCGGCGTGGGACAATAATTTTCCGCTTTAAACTCTGCTTGCTTCTCTTCCATAGCGTACAAAAATGGCAGCTGCCACGACAAGTTCTCCTCTCAACCTCTTAGATTTCAATCGTAAACCTATTTTCCCTTGCAAACTTTCCTCTCCGAGATGCCGTCCGACATTGTTAATGCCCCCCGGAGGAGTTTCCTCAAACTCCATTGCCGGAACTGGAAGAACCCTTTCCAACCCTCCCAGTTATATGTCAACCTGCTTAGTGATCCCTCCGCCGCCTAAATTCCAAAAACCCAAGGCGATTATCAAATTTATCGGCGGAGCTTTCATCGGGGCCGTCCCCGAGGTCACTTACAGGTCTCTTATTTAAAGGAGTTGCTACTTTGTTTTAGAACAGAAGCTTTTATCATTAATAATATTGGAGATTTTAATTACTTGGTGATATGCTGTTTGAGAGAGTGTAGTTATTTGCTGGAGATGCTGGCAGTGGAAGGGTATTTAATCATTTGCGTACCTTACAACGTGACGTTCGACCATGCGGAAATCACTAGGCGAGTGTCTGAGAGGTTCACTTCTTGTTTGGATTCGATTTTGTGCTCTGGGTTGCCGGATTTAGGGCTTTCTGCTCTTGAGGTTTCAGATTTGCCTCTTTATTCTGTAGGACACAGGTAGTGAGCATTAAAAACTTCACTATTTCTCTCCTCAACTTCTTAGTGTGGATGATATATGACGAAAGGGTCAATTGAGTACACCAACTTATATGAGGTGGAGTAAAGAGTACGCTATATTGCATTTGATCTTTTTAAGTATACAAATTCGGGATTTTAGTGTTAATTGAGTACATTTGTTAGATTAACACGTTAATACAGTTGAGTTGGCTAACGGAATGTCGAGTAAGGAGTAATGAACCGAGGTTATGGTGCCGACCATCACGAAGTTGACAAAAAAAGAAAACCGACCTTCGAAGGTCGACCTGCAGGGGTGTCGGCCACCATGGGTGCATCGAACAAGAAGAAGTCGACTTGCGGGGGACTGACTTCGACCAAGGGGAAGTCGATCAAGTGATTGGGGGCTGGCGTCGACCTTAAAAAGTCGACTTATTAGCATTCTATTAGCCAACTCAGTCATATTAACGTGTTAATCTAACGGGTGTACTCAATTAACACTAAAAACTCGAACTTATGTACTTAAAAAGATCAAATGCAATATAGTATACTCTTTCCTCTACTTCATACAAATTGATGTACTCATTTGACCCTTACCTCGATGATATATGTTATAGGTGAGGCATGTTTTGATATCAATCCGTCATACCACCTTAGACCCATTTGTTACGGTTGAAGTGGCGGGATTGGTTGAAGTTGGTGTCCAAATGACTGGACTTGCATGTTTGATCTCAACTTTATTTAAAAAGTACTTCTTCCAACTTGGCCTCACTAACAGCCCATTTGGATGAAGTGTTGGGAGGTGTTAGTAATGGAAGTGTTAGTAAGCGTTGGAAGCCCCCCCGGAAAGGAAGACATGTGTAAGTGTTAAGTATAAATTAACCATGTTTGGAAGAGTTAAAAAATGAGTGTTGTCATATAGTAGTGACATATGATCTCGGTATGACAATATGAATTCGAGATGACAGTACTTAATTGACATTTAGGCAGTGATGTGATGATGTCAATAGCGGGCTATAGCGGCGCTATAGCGGAATAGCGGAATCGGGGCGGGAGGTAGGCACTATGAGACTGCCTATAGCGGAGCGGTTGGCAATAGCGGCTTAGTGGGCACTATTGCGGGTAGAATAGCAGCTATAGCGGACGCTATACGCCACTATAATTTACATGGCTACTTTAACACTAGTTTTGAGGGAATTTGAGAGTACAGTTTACATTTAGATGTTCTTGGAGTAAAAAATAACCACAATTCACCCTCCAAAACACATTGGGGGGGGGGGGGGTAAAACCCCCTACTAAACAGTAGTAAACACTACTAAAATAACTCAAAACAGAAACCAAGATCAAACATAGCCTATATCATACATCTCCATGTTAAGGTAGACTAGGTACTTCAAGGCATCCCAACAACCACAATTTTTTTATAATGTGATATTAATGACAAATTTGTCAAGAATTATCTGGAACTTAATTTCTAATGTTTAGAGGTAAGGTACTTAAATTATTATTTTCTTATGTTTAAGACTCCAAAGCCTCTTTATCGGTAATTTAGTAAGTATAAATTTCATGATGTTTGACTAACATATTTGTGATTTATCATTTCTTGGAATTGATATGTTCATGACATGCAATGTATGCATACACATAATATGTATTTTGCATATATATTGTCTAAAGATCGGTCATCCCACTATCCGCTATACCGCTATAGCATTTTCGGAGTTGGCCTCAACGCTTCGCTATCCGGGATTGACAACACTGCATTTAGGTGAAAAATATACCACTCATCTTTAGAAAAAACACCTGTATTTAACTTCTAGGTGTAAGAAACTGTGACTTTTTTATACTATAGTAGTACTGTATAATTTTTAAAGGTGTACTGCTTTTCAGTACTTCCATTTCTGAAAAAAGATTGAGTTGAGTAATTTAGTACACCCAAAGAAGAAACTGAAACAAGTGATACGTAGTACGGAGTATGAAATAGAGGAAGTATATTCTTTAAATAAACTAAAAAAGTATATAATGATTGCAGAAGAAATTTCATCTTTCTTTAGTTAGCCATTTCAGCGAACAAAGTAACTTTTGCAAGACTTTTCTATTATGAACGTATTGATTAAGTCTTGTAGGATAGTGAAAGGAGTTGGTGTTTGAAAAAGGACTAATAAGGCTGATACATCAGAAAAGGGGTATACAATTCGTCAATCCCTTGATTCCCCTCCAATGTATCAAAGAAAAAGGAATGAGGCATTTCAAGCAGGCTCAATCCCATAAACAAGATACAAATTTCATGCGACAAAAACCGTGGGAATGAAATTTTGTATCAATTAATTGTCTAATATTATTGAACACTAATAAATAAAATAAAAAATAGTGGTAATTGACAATGATTTGTGGTTTACTTAAAAAATATTATAGCATGAGATATTTGACAAGGTTATATTTTGAGAAGAAATGCTTATTACAGATTCATGATTTGAATAAACATGAAAGAGAAAAGGAATGCTTGTAGAAAAATAAAGAAAGCACATGATAAAGAAGCTACATTACTAATAATGCGAGACGCTATTTGATATTTTCACACACACAAATGTTGAATTCCTACTGATCATTCATACCCCTTTGTTTATAGCAATGGAGCTCTTCTTCAAACTCTCACCGAGAGTTATTTCTCAGAAAGAATACCAAAGGTTCACAATATATTCCCTGACTCTAAATTTCATTACATTTGTCTATATTAATTTTGTAGCATGTTTTAGTCATCAGTTATATTACCTTATCTAGTTAGCTGACCTCTAAAAACTTTAAATTGAGGGAGTTTATATCTTATGCTCTTTGAAGGCTAATGTAATAATATCATACAACAACCGCCCAGCATCAGAGGCAGTGCCATACTTTAAGCAGGTAAATTGTCCGATAAGTTTACGAACTTTTAAGAAAGTACAAAAATGACATATGTTTCTTGTTACATATTTAACATGTTTTTATTTATTACAAATTTAACATTTTTCTTGTATATCTATCATTTATGGCTTGACTTCATCTCACTTGGTATTATTGTTTCAGTTGGGGCTTGTGGTCAGTCAGATGCTGCCAGTTTTAGCAACATTTCCGGTTTATTCAGTTGTTGAGGCTGCTTCAGGTAAAGGTCACATTATAAAGATTTAATCTTCCTTTTTATTAAGAATCAAATTCCCATGAAACTGAAATTCGAGCATACTTGTATGACTGTGCACTTAGAAAATAGTTTATTTCAATCTCTAAACAAAAGATTTAATTGACATTTGCATTTCTTCTCTTGTATTGTCTTATATCCGATTTTGCTTTTATGAAAAAATATCACATGAAAGGGAAATATTTTTATTTAGCTATTTCCAAATGTCAAATAATAATAATAATATCAACAACATTCCTAAATAAGCACAATCATGACTAGATGCTGATATTAATTATTAAAAGAAGATGAAATGCATAGTGAGAGTGTGTATATTACCCCTTACATTCATTTCTTCTAAATGCCAATAGGAAATGCATGGAAGCTCCTGCTTGATACAGCTGAAACGGTGGTACCAAACTATGACCAGAAAGCATTTGGTTCATTCATGACTAGATTTACTGATCAATTGCCTTTGATAATTAATGAGGTAACTATATGGTGGAGGTTTCACTTTATCAATGACTCACTTCTTCATCCATCTTAATTGGTGCACTGAGATCAGCAAACCCTTGGCAGTTTCGATATTATATGCTCTCATAAAACTTCTTCAGGGAGTGTTTTGGTTCAGGTAGTTTGCGATATTATATACCACACTGAAATGCTACATACCCAGTGTTTGGTTCACCTTATCTTGTCACATGCCCACCCTTCTCATTTTTACCTTTTTTTGGGTGGTGTGCTTAACATTTAAACCACCCATATTTTTAGGCTATCTTAGGCCCCTTTTCCAGAGGTTGCAAGTTGCACGTTTTTTTTTAAATTTACAACCAGATTTGGAAGTCAGGAAAACTAATTTTCAGTTTTTCTTTTTGCATTTTCTGAAACTAGGATTATTGGCTAAATATATCCTCAACTATCATGAAATTCACAAATCTATCCCATACTTTCACTTTTATTAAAAAAGACTCAAACTTCAACATTTCTCACAATTACACCTTCAATCTATGAATTAGTAAAAACTAAGAACAAAATTATATTTATATTTCATATTTTTTCATTTCTTTCTAGTTTTAAGTTTACAAAATTGTATTGCTTATATCTAATGGCAATGATAAAAAATGTGTAATTTTGAAAAAACAAAAAAGAAAAGCATAATTGATGAAAATAAATGAAGTTTGAGTCTTTTTTGATAAAAATGAAAGTGTAGGATATATTTTTGAATTTGATGATAGTTTGGGATAAAATAAGCTAATAATCCTTGGTAAAAGTATGAGTAAGTTTTTGTTTATTATACAACACGTATCATGTAAGATGCAACTGACTAACTTACATAATCTTAATACCACAAACAGCCAACTCGTGACCATCCCAAACATGACCACATTGGGGTGGTACACTGATGGCTATTTCCACTTTCATGAACTTATATTTATGAATATATACCCCATTATATTATTTATGACAAATAAAGGTTATCGGAAGTATATAGCAAATAAAGTAGTACTATATTTGAAACTATTTATATGCAAATCTGGTCTATACCCGTCATTTATGTTATGAAGATCATACTGCTAAGTTTAAGTAATGCATGTAACTTGATGAGCGAAACGAGTTGAGGGTATTAAACTAAAAATCAATGTGTTATATAAGATGACAGTATGATATATCTCCTATAATGTAAAAGTCATTCCCAGTAGTCTAACATTTCCCAAGTAATGTGATATCACGTTAACCAAACAACCCCTTAAGTATTTGAATTTTATATACTAGTATTTTTTATGTGGTTGTTTGTCCCCCCCCCCCCACCAGCTTGCTGAAGGGATATCAGAATTCAAGCCAACACCACTTGAGAATCTAAAGAGCATACGAGAACTTTATAATGTTCAGTCCACTCTACTGGTTAGTACACTAATAATGATGATGCATGAATGTAAAACGTGATGAATTCATATTCTACATCGACGTCCCATTTTGTAAGATACACTTTCCATTTTGTGTTGTCCCAAAAATATGAAACACTTCAAAAAATGAACCCTACTAACACTTTACTTTCCAGTTTATCTGTGATTTCACCCTTTACATTTTGTGGACCCATCTTACTTTTTCTTACTTTTTGGAGATTTGAATCGTAAAACAACCACTTTATCTTTTATTTTTTAAAACCTGTGCCATACCCACGTGTATCTTACATTATGGGACGGAGGGAGTATAGTGCAATACAGACTTAGTTTCTACTGGATACTGATCTGACACTTTTTTTAAAATATACAAGTATGATTGGTGTTTATAATTAGGTTAAGTTTGACTCTGATACAATCGACGAGACGGATCAACTTGAAGAGACACTGAGACCTCGCATTGAAACTTTTGGTGGAAAACTAGAGAAGGCCGTCTTAAGTGGTAACCACATTACACCCTGCCTTCAGGTATTATATGTATATGCTTCTCTCTTTAGTCCTTTATGGTTTTCTAATTACATTTTTTTATGAAGAGTTCACTTTTGCTCTAGTTTAATATTTTTTATTATTAGGAACTGAGATGGGAAGTCGGGAATGTCTACACCCCAGCAGATGCTTTAGGGCAAGTACTAAAGAATGTGTCAGTTAATGACACCAGAAGGCTTGCTACAACCATCGCCAACTGGCTTGATCGTCTCTCTCACTAATTACAGTGTTGAGGTTTGGTGTTTAGTATTCATTCATTAATCCAAAGTTATATATGCTGGATTATCCCTTTGCTAGCTGAGGAATGAACAGATTCTTGCTTGGAAATCATTCATCCACAATAGTATGGTGGTATGGCCCTCTTTGGCAATTAGCTTATTGCATTAGGTTTTATGACAAGTTTTTTAAGTGATGTTTCACAATAATTAACTATGTTTTCATGATAAAAGTAATTAGCCACCAGCTATTTAAATATATAAAGATATTGTGCTATCCTTTACTATTGAAATAATGCTTCTGATAATTATTTTAATCTTTATAACGGAATCTTTATTATATTGGGTGACTAGGAAGACCAATGATCAATTGAAATGTTGATCAACTTTTAAGCATTCATCAGGTCCAACATATAATTGCATCCTTTAAACAGCTCTGTCGACATTACAAGCTGCCTTTTGTTTGGAAGTAAAATGTTCATGCAGTCAGCTTATGCATACTATCAGAAATTACACAATAAGACCCCACTGTATCATTCACTTAGAAAGTGTTTACTTTCCCCTGGAAGATAAAAAGATTGAGTTTGATTATCCCCCTAAACAATATCTCAGAATGAGTTTATTTTCCTGTGAAAGTGCGTGCTTGCCTAGGAAACAACCAAATACACCCTAAGACAAATTCTTGGCCAACTTGCTTCTGCAGACTTTTCTGCTGAGACACCAAACACGTGTTCTACTGGGTGTTGAAGAAGTAATCGAGCCACTCGTTGAGTTGATCTCTTCTTCTATTTCCAAATCAGAAGCATTGGTGCCACAAGAGGAGAAAGCAGCATGTTTGTTCATCTGATCAATGAGTGAGTGCCTCCTCACACATGGACTAGTAGTAGTTGCACCAGTGGTCCCCTCTGTGGTCCCGCTGGGAAGATGCAATCCTTTTGCTGGGGAATTTGGGTTGCTCAAAATGTCTTCTTGCAGAACTGCTCCTATTCTTGCGAGTATGGTATATGCAAGGTTTCCAAGAACCCGGGAGTATGCTTCTAGTATTGCATGCCCAATATCCTGTGGTGGAAATTATAAATTGAAGGAAAGAAAGTGTACAGAATAAAGTTATACGTAGTATAAACACAGAAATATGAATGTAAAAATAAAACTGATTCAAATTTGATGTGTCTTTCATTTTCCATGTTAAAACCAAACATTATAAACTTAATCAAATTTGATTTGCCCTTCATATTTTTCAAGTTAAACCACACATTAAAATTTAAAACTATTATTAACTTTTTTTCTTTTACTAGTTTTTTCTAGTACACGACTGGTCCCTAACAGTAAAAAACAAGCTATCTGATCAATCATCTGTTTCCATATAAATGGTAGGCGATATCCACACACCTTGCCATATTGAATCTTCATCATGTCAAGGAATGTATGTGGAAGGTTTGGATATCTAGTTCTGATCTTCCGTAGAAGAGCTTCAGCATGATTCAGTGAAACATTGATTCCATCAACTACCTCAAATGTTTTTGGATGTTTAATGAAAGATGACCAAGACATTGGAATGCAATCTGCTTCCTCTGCCATTTTCTCTTTCCACACGAGAATTGCAGCCTCCAACCTGTTTATTGTCTCCAGTGCATTGTGCTCTGTTTTCAGGTTCAGAGACTCAACCATGTCATCAAATGTACTAACTCTTTCTCTTGTCAAAATCTGGTATAGATCCTCTCCCAGGTTTGCCTTGGCAGACTGCAAATGGTGAAGTTGCCAGAGTTAAAGGTATTAATGCTGTGGGTTGTTAGGTGCTCACTTTTTCGGGTTTATGAGCCGCTTTTCAGTCAATTTATTTAAAAACAGGCCTTTTCAATGTGTTTTTTTGCTTGAAGATTCTGAAATTGATGAAGATGAGCATTTAGGTTTGCTTTGTTGTTCAACAAGTTCATCAACTTCCATCACCATTTCAGTAATTCCAGTCAAATTCATTCTTAGCAAACGAGCTCCTGATAAATTTGAAACTATTCACTGTCACTTGATACAGGGGGTGGGCAAGACTTAAAAAGAGACAGTAAAATATAAACAGCTTTTATTATTTGAATTAAACTTTTCAGAGTGGTTGTTGTAAACTTCTTACCTTTGGAATTGCATCCCTGATGAAAGCTGGAACAGTCATTTCAAGCAAAACATTTTCATTGATAGCTTTAGAAGCTTTCAATATCTGGTTTACCAATTTACCACTGTCCATCAGTTTCTTCCTTTCACCATCACATAGCCCTCTCATTGGCACCTGAGGTGAAGGAAGCCACCACCTTTTACTCCCCCCTTCTGCTCGGCTGCTACCCACTTCTGAGTACCAAAACTCTGTATCCACCATAGAATCCAGGGTTTCCTATCATTTTTAAATATAATTTAAATTAAATTATTTAGTCAATGCAATGTCTCCTCAAAATCTTTTGGGAATAAAGCTTGGATGCTGAAGCTCTATTTGGCAAAATAGCTGATGAGCCAGCTCACATGTGATAAGCAAAATGATATCTATGGGTCGGCTGTGTTAGCTGATAAGCTAGCTGATAGATAGTTGATAGCTAACAAGTATAATTCTTAATTAATAGCAAGCTTGCAACTTTAAGCTAGGGGTGGACTCGGGCCGGGCCAACCGGTGAACCGGTTGGTTGGCCGGTTCAGGCCACCCGGCCCGGTGGGATCTCGGTTCGGGCTCGGGCCCTTCAAAAGGTGAACCGGCCGGTTCGGGCCCAGGCCGGGCCAATTTTTTTTTTTTTTTGAATTTTTTTTTAATTTTTTGGGTTGGGCTGGGTATTTTGGGTCATTTGAGGTGGAGGGTTGGGGGTTAACTAGGAAAAGCCCAAAAAAAAATATATAACCGAGGCCCGGCCGGTTCAAGGCCCGAACCATCCCTACTTTGAGCTAATAGAAGCTAGTTTATAAAATAACACAAAAAAGACACGTTAAATCCCCAGTCCGGTCCCCACACAGTGCCTGACCCGGTTTCGGACCGGGTCCACCCCTAGTTAAAAGGATTTAAAATAAAAAGGTGGTAAAAATTGAGATATAATCAAATAAACCATTAGCTTGTTTGAAATGGTACTCCATAAGGCCTATTAAACAAGTTGACACAACACATTTGAAAAACTTCCTTTAAAAGCTTTCAGCTAGCTTTTAAGCTACCTTGTTAAATGCTATAAGCAGAGCTGTAGTAACTTATAGCTGATAGGCTATTTAATCTCATGTAAAAACTAGCAGATAACTATGGTAGTGAAATATAAAATGACATCAAAGGATATGTTTGAAACGATTTTAAAATATAAACAAGGTACAAATGGAATTATAAACAAAAAGTTCCTGATAAATGAGCCTTTAAACATGGTTTTTAGAATATGATAAATGAACCACTTACAATAAGCATTATGTCCAACTTCTGAAGAGCGGGAAGATTCATCTGAACATCAGGACGAGCTTTTGGTGTCATTATCTGCCAAAGCAAGTTATAGAAGAACCTCAACATTGTTTATATTCCTTTCATGTCATAATATTCTTCCCGGTTTGACTTGGATCGGAGTTTAAAAAAATGGGAAGAAAGTAGAAATGTACGTGATTGCATAAGAAAAAGGTATATGAATGGTAGCCACACAAAACTTTCCAAAAAGGGAAATGGGAAGAATTTATGGGACGTATCAAAATGTTAAGTGGGAAGAATTTAATGGGACAGAAGGAGTATTTCATTATATCTTGTACATTGTACATGCGTTAAGACTTGAGAGAAGATGAAAATAACCTCATAAATGCAGCCATTGTCACCATTTTGGGTGGACGGTACCAACTCAACCATATAGTTGGTTGGTGATAGAAACCACTCCATTTCTTGTTGCCATATTCTCTTCTTCTCCTCAGAAAGTGGTTCCAATTTCCACAGCTCACCGAAAACAGATGCTGCAAAAATAAAATGAATTCACACAATTATTATTATTAACTATAAGGAGAGAAATACAACATTATAGATAGTGTTAGTGTGTACTCCTTCATGCCACACATCTTCAGGGGGTGTTTGGATCCGATTCTTAAAACTGCTTCTGCTCCCGGAGTGTTTGGGTGAAAATGCAGAAGTGATTCTGGTGCTCTAATTTACTCCTAGAATAAGTTTTTTTAGAAGCTAGGGGGTACCAGCTTCTGAAAAATGATTCTGATTCTGCTTCTGCTTTAAAAAAGAAGCAGAAGTAGAACCAGTTCCAAACACCCCCTCAATATTAGAAGCAAAAAAAGAATATTGTATGCCCCTCTGTCTAAAAAGTAGAGATGTGTTTGAAAACTTACTTTTATTGCAAAAGAAAAAAAGATTCCTTTTTCAATAAAAAAAGCTAATTTTAGTTGATGAAACATGGCCTTTTTGGGACAGAGGTATTGTTATTGCGAGTCAATAACTGGTTTATTCCTACACTCAATTTGGTCCCCGACTTTATTTTAGAATGGTTCATGACTATGCAATTTAGACTCTATTTAATCCTCATGAAAACTTTGGGCTAATTAAAAAGGATTGTTGTGTCCATTACTAAACTTAGACCCGGTTTCAAATTCATATGGGGCCTCAAGTGTGTATTTTTAACCTAATGTGGTCATCAACGTATGTAAGTATCATTCTTAGTGTTGATTCTGTAGAATTTGCAGGAGTACTAAAACTGAGTCTGAATGGCATAATCAATGACTAAATTCAGTAATAGTTTGTAGTGAAGGGACCAAGTTGGGTATAAACGCACTTAATATATAGTGTAAGAGGAGGTTTACTTGAAAGATTCAATATGGCATTTGATAAAGCTAGTGCGGTTGAAACCCCATTGCTCCCCCCTGTCATGTCCTCCCCAAGTAACAGCTTTGAGAATTTCACTTTCATTGCTTCCACCACATCCAGGTACTTGGTTACTTTTACCTTGACACAGGTGTGGGGACTTTGAGGGGAAGGGATTGCTGAGAATTCACACATTTCAGGTTCCCTCTTCATTATAGCCGCTGTCAAATCAGAGGAGAGGAGTGATGATGATCGAAAATCAGTGTTGTTGCTAGTAGAAGTGTTGCTGCTGTTGCTGCTGCTGGCATCATCATCAAACAAAGAGGAATCTGTAGTAATGCTTCTGCTAGCGGAGCTTTCATTGCCATCATCATAGGATTGACTTTGCTTGATGCACCTCTCGAGTCCATCGTATGTTGTAACTGATGAAAGCACCAATACCATTAGAAAGGCATCATTTGTATCTCATAATGTTTCAGTGTTTTAACTGGCAACATTGCTTACTTGGTCCCGGTCTTTAGCACCTTTGATTTCGTAAGTCATTAAGTTTTAGATTTCATTATGTGATGTTTCCTGATTTGGTCTTTTCATCACAAATACTACCTCTATCCCGCTGGAAGGTTCTCATAGCACAACAGCACGGTTATCTAGACAATAATTAAATAAAGTATATTTTTAAAATGTATATTTTGAGAAATAATTTTAATAGGTATATACTTCCTCCGTTCTTTAATTCTTGTAACATTGTGACTTTTGCACTATTCATAGATCTTACTTTGACCACGATTTTCTACTAATATACATAATCAAATTATTTTGTATAAAATGTTATTGAATTCCTATCAATGTGAATTTCCAAAATATCAACTTTTTATAATGTTTAGTGTTTACTGCCCGGAATACATAATTAAATATAATTACAGTCAAAGTTGTGCGTTGGCAAACGTGAAAGTCAAACTGTTGCAAGAATTAAAGAACGGAGGATAGTATTATAATGTAGTTAGTATGGATAAGTGTGATGTTAGAAATGTATTATTTTAATATTTAATGATTATTTGTTGCTTAAGATTGTTAATTGTTTCCTAAAATGAAAATGGGAACCTTTATATGGAACGTCCAAAAAAGGAAAGTGAAAACCTTCTAATGAGATGGAGGGAGTAAGTAATACGGAGTAGCTTTTACGTGTACAATATTTAATCATACAATAAATAAAAAACAATACAATTAAAACTAAGTACTACCTTCATCCCATTGAAAGGTTCATGTTGTATACTGGCACGATTATTTAGACAATTATTAAATACAGTAATTCAAGTATATTTTGAGATATAAATTGGATAGGTATATAGTATAATGAGGTTAACGGTGATGACTGTGATGTTGTAAATGTATTATTTTTAATATTTGATGATTAAGTTGTCATTTAAGCGTGGTAATTATTTTTCAAAATAGATTTGAGAACTTTTATACGGGACGTTTCAAAAATGAAAGTGAGAACATTTATATGGGACGGGAAGAGTATTTTTTACCTGGAAATTGCCAATTTGGGTTAAATTTTTTTAGGAAAACATAATAATGAACAAAATAATGTTAACTAGGTACAGTCCGAGGCGACCAAATATGCATTTTCTATTTTTTATTGGCACCATGTGGAGAATATAGTTCAACAAACAAAAGACATAAAAATTTTAGCATTTTTTGGTGAATCGCATATTTGGTCAGTATGGACCTAAAATCTAGTTGGGGATCAAACTAGCCGGAAAGAGGTCACACTATGGAATTAGACGGACTTGTCTAAGCAGCGGGTAAATGGTCTAAGTCAACATGCTCACTACAGAGCACGTTGGCGTGATAAATGGTCAGGATTCACTCATCTAAAATTTGAGTGAATCCAAGTCATTTATCACGTTTAGGGGTGGGATGGGTCTGGTCCGGGTCAGATTTTTGCTAAACCCGGAAATTACCCGTAAGGCATCGGGTTATGAAAATTAGGGACCAAAAAAAGCCCACTATATTCGGTCCGAGTCGGGTTTTTTGTAGCCCGGGTTCGGTCCGGGGGTTGGATCGGTTAAAGCCCAAATGTGAAATCACTCATTTTTCTTTTATATTTTAAAATCTATTTTCAAATAAAATTAATAAAAAGTACAAACCACAAATAAAATTAATAAAAATCACAAATATTAGTCTCCAAAATCACCAAGAATTCAAATCCAAAGAAGACAATTATCATAATATTTTGTTTAAGATGCATAAAAATAAGTAATATAGGTGTTCTAAAAATGTTATGAAATAAAATTTATGGATAAAAATGTAACTAAAGTTACTATAAATATGTTTTCATGATCATTACGGTAAATAAATAGAACATATTTGTAGTTACTAAAAGTTATTAAGTCATTTTTTCGTCCATCATGATTATAATCATAAATTAGTACTCCGTAATTAATTTATAAATTATATTGGTATATTATATTGATTTTATATTAAGGCTAATTGTTTCGGCTTTTATCGGTCCGGGCTGGGTTATAGATTTTAGGGCCCGTTAAAGAGCCTGAAATTTCGGGTTCGGTCCGATTTTTTTTTATTCGGACCGGTCAAAAAGAAAAAACCGGAACGATATCATAATTCGGGCCAGGCCAGGGCCGATTTCCGGGTTTCAGTTTGGGTTTTCCCACCCCTAAATTCACGTCAACTTCGCTCTATAGTGAGGATGCTAGTGTGTTCCATATATTTGCTCACCTTATATTTACTCACCTATCTAGATTCTAGAGTATTGAGTGCTTGCAAGATTAGAAAAGGAAGACATTGTGACTTTCGAGTGAGCCCTTCTTTGGGCGGGATGTTGTTGGACCCAACCGAGGGAACAAAAGGATGTGAAATATACCAAACCAACCAAGCACGTGACTTATTTTTTATAAAAATATTGTTGGTACACATAGTTTGTACACATATTATGTACCATTAAGCATGGTGTACCGCAATATGTGTAGAAATTATGTGTACAGTTGCATTTTTTAATTGCAGAAATGTCCAAACAGAGAAAAGGGGAAGCATTTCAAAATTCAGTGAGTCAGTATTAACGCTACAAGTAAAAAAAAGGGATGACACCCCATCCCTGAGGGTCCCCCAACCCTGACAGGAAGGTACGTTGGGAGGATGTAAATTGAACTATAATCCCAATCTGACAGATAGAGAGAGTGTGGCTCTGTCTCCGGTACTTGCAGAGGCGCTATGCATTTTTAGCATAGTAACCCCTCATCGCAGTTGCCGGGATTCGAACCCGGGACCTAACCCTTGTGACACTCCCTTGCTACCAGTTGAGCTACGCCGACCTGTAACAATCCAATGCAAGTATTAACGCTACAAGTGATTCAATGCCTCGTGACCTAATTCATGCCCCACCAACATTTTTTTATTAACACACTCTCTGGAAGTGGCTTTATTCATATCGCAACAAAAAAGTGGGTACTTTCATATATACACTCGAAGTGGAAAAGAAAATTTGAACACTCGGCAATACTCGAGTTTGGTTATATATTTGGTTTCTTAAATTTTCGTATAAATAATACAAATAGGGAGAAATGGAGATTGTGTTGACGCAAAAATGAGTTGACCTGCCTAACTAGGTTTGGGTTCGGTTTATTAAATAAAACGGAGTACTAATTTGGTTTCTTAAATTTTCGTATAAATAATTTTGAACACTACATAGTACATACTCTTCGAATTCCCTTCTCTTTTAATCCTTGTCCATATTTTATTTATATTCATTTTTGTTATTCATTATAATAGAGATTTCAAAGTAGTTTTAGTAATACTACATTAAATATTAATACAAATATGTAGAATATTGAATATTTTATACAGATATTTCTATTATATTTTAATATTATGTATATTAAATATTAAATTAAATTTACCATAGAAAAAAGATTAAACTCAAATATAATATTATTAATTTTTATACATATTTTTGATTTGATATGTTCAAAATTAAAAAATAACAGAAAAGTTAACAACTGTTAGCACTAAGATATTTTTGTGAAACAGTTCTGATTATTTTTGTGAAATTTATCAATAGGGATTATTTTTAATAGAATGTGTAAAAGTATGGATTATTGGTGTCAATTTCTCCTATATTTTAAATATAATTTTTTCATAAATAAACAGAATCAGTCAATCCAGTCACTTCAACCAAAACATCATAAATTTCAGCAGAATCAGCCAATACAGCCGATTAGGATATTACACAACGGACCCTTAAAAGATAGTCATATTTTAACATCATTTTCAAATTAAATTATATATTATTAGTGACCTAAAACCCCCTTACCCCACCGAAGGTGAGAGTCTTTATGGCACTGGGATAATGATGATGATGTATTAGTGACCTAAAAATGGAATTGAGATATGCATACTTATACATCACCACTTCAACCTAAAAAGGACTGAGTATGCATACTTGTACATCATCAAAACATGAAAATCCAGAAATCAAAACTAACAACTTACCATTCAAAATTAAACTGAAATTGAATGGTAAGTTGGTTTTTGTTTTTAATCTTTTACTTTATATATCCAATTTTTATCAAATTTGGTTTTTGTTTTTGCGACTATAAAACTTTTAACGGAGTTTCTGAATATGTAAATTTTATTTACAAAAATTATCTTATTAATAAGAGGGATCAATTAATTTTATAGTCGGTCATACATCATAAAGCACGTGATAACATTTAAGTGGGACAGATGTGGTACTTATTTATCGTAAAAATGCTAAAAAGTGGTGATTGTGAGGCAAGGTGTTGTGGTGGGAGATGTGATTTGTGCAAGGGCTGCGGTTTGGGGCTGGGGGCATGGGAGCTAAGGTGGGGTAAGGGAGTGTCTCTGTGTGGACGGCCGCATTCACCGCCAGGGCGGTGGAGGCAGTCATCGTCAAAACGGTGGCGACAGACACCACAGTGACAACGGCTTTCATTGCAGACATTGGTGGTGGTGGTTGCCGAATGTGGTGGTCAGAAACGGCAATGGCGAGTCCCTGGAGGTGGTGGTCAATGGTGGTAGCCGGCAGTGGTCACCCCAGATAATTGTACATGGTTGGACCGGGTATCTCTAACCGGTTTAGTCGGGTCACTGTAAATGATCAGGTCGAGTAACTGGAACTCATCGGATCAGATTGCAATTAGGGCTGTTAACGAACCGAACTTTTATCGAACTATTCGAGTTCGAGCTCGGTTTCGAACCTAACGAGCCGAGCTTAACGAGCTTTCAAACACGAACCCGAGCTGAATTTTAAGTTCGAAACATTAATCGAGCCGAGCTCGAACATAGTAGCATTCGGCTCGGTTCGAACTCGAGCATATCGAGCACCCTGAAATTATAAATATAATTTATATATTTAAATATAATTAGTATTATTTTATGAATTTAAATATGATTATTAAAGAATCGAATACTTGTCGAATCATTCGAGCACGAGCCTATTAACGAGCATCACCTAAAATTTTAAATTCGAGCATATTTATCAAGCTTATCGAGCGCTCGGTTGAAACATCGAATGCCTATCGAGCCGAACACGAGCCTCATTTGTAAAGCTCGCCGAGCTTCAAGCTCGAACCCGAACACCACTAATTCCTTATTGAACCAAACTCGAGCTTTGGGTGTTTGGGCTCGACTCGATTCGTTGACAGCCCTAGTTGCAATTATTGGTCGGATCAATAACTGTAACTGGTCGGATCAAGTAATTGTAAATAGACTTGATAAGTGTAACGGGGTAAAATAATCATGTCTTTTTTTCGGAAATATGAAAATGAGTCTCATTTCTGTTCATGAATTTCATTTAATAATATTAGTGTCAAAACCCCTAATTAATGTTACCCTGGACTTAATGTTCTGTCTACATTTTGAGATAGATAAACAGATAGTTAGTTTGGTCCATTCATCTTCAAGTTTAGCAAATTCATCATATATCCAGTGAGGTGGTGCCAGTGGATGGGCGAGTGGTTCAAGCTACCCGGCCAGTCCAGTCCAGTCCAGTCCAGTGCAAACCGCACAAACAATAATTCATTCAAAGAAGTCGATTGATTTACTGCGAATATCGCCACTAATGTGTGAGCAGGAAAAGACTCTTCTTTATTTCCAAAAATAAAATGTTCTTTTTGTAATACTAATGCTGAATAAAGAATAATATCTGACTGCTTAACAACAAAATGTCTATTTTATGAGCAAATGAAAAATGTATTCCCCAAAGAATAAGCCATACTAGTTTATAATAAAACTAATTCTAGATCGACACAAGTAGAGCATTGATATCATATTACCTAGGGTGGGGTAAGGGTTGGATGTACGCAGTCATACCCCTGTACTAAAGCACAGTTTACCCCTGTACTAAAGCACAAAGAGACCGATTCCGGATGATTCATTGTGAAAATCGCGTCGAAAATTGAATGGACTAACCGCTGCTTCATAACAAAGAAGCACGACCAGTTTAGTGAGCTATTTTACTTTATTTATTCCATCATATTCCCAAGCCAAAAAATAGTGAGTCTTCGGCTCCATTGCAAATGATGGAAAATAGAACACCGGTAACAACGATTTCAAGAAAACAGTTTATCTTCTTTTCAAAGCGTTTCTCGTAAATATGTAGGAGATGGAACAAATACATGGCAAGCTACTAGCTATTAGCTTGTTTTGTGGAAAAATGTTTTCATGTGTGGAACACATCAAACTAAGTCAAAACATAAATTTCAGGAGAACTAATGATGGATTTGGGGAAGACTAATAAAAAGGAAAGAAGAGATGAGAAAACTTATGACTCACTGTTTTGTTCATCTAAGTCGATGCTTATCATTCTTTTGTGAAGAATGCAACAAGGTGCCAGTCCCCTTCGCCTCATCATACCCACCCGCGGCCCTGTTACAGCTAATTAATTAAGATGCAAATTAAATTATATAGTGAGAATGCTGCATTCAGACTCTTTTGGATGTTGTTATTGTAATGATGTTAATGCCTTCAAAGCGCAAGAAAGAGAGAGAAAGAAAGAAACTACATGATAGTGTTCTCACTGTGATCCATATATAACCACTGCACACATGATCGAGGAGGTAAATTTAGAATTCTCCACAACAACTGAAAATGTGTTTGTGCGTCCAGAGACCCAAAATATTACGGACTACTAGCTTCCTACACAACTTTTCTTAAGAGAATTCATTCAAATCGATTACCCAAACCCTAAAACTCAACACACAAAAAGGCTCTGGGTTTAGTGCTGGGTATTGAAATTGAAAAAGCAGACTAGACAGAATGCAAAGGTCTCTCTTTTTTGTTTTAATTCGATATAATCGAGTTCACAGAGCTTTTAATTTTCGCATACTTTTCATTTATGTATCTTTTTAGATCTAGCTACCACATTTGCTTGTGAACCAAAATGTGGTATTTGCATACTTACTTAATTTCCTTAAACAACTTCTTCATACCGGACATGGGTTGCGGCTTCCGTTTATTAATACTCCACTACGTAATTATAACCTTTAAATTGACTGGATTTCAAACTTCCCTTACAAGTATTTGTAAACTACAAACAATATGCACAAAACACTTGACTCCTCCTCCTCCTATCCTATGAGATTGAACTAAAATTAGGAGTAGCAGATATTGTAAATTTATTCGCTCATGATTTACCAAATATTTCTAAAATTACTCCGCCCAAAGCTAAACCCCATGGGCCGGAGGTAGTAATATCTATCATCCATGAACATAAGTGGTCCTGCTACATAAAAAATGGAAAATGGAGATGTGTAAAGAACTGAAGAGAGCAAGCAGTAAAGAGAAGCTCGCAGATACCTGTGATGATCGAGGAGCTAAACAAGCTTAGGCTAAGGAAGAAAACACCATTTCTAGGTCTTTGTAACAAGCAAGAGAGTGACCGAGGGAGGATATGGATATTGTTAGTGAATAGTGAGTACGTGTAGAAAGAAGTATTTCTTTTGAGTGTTACAAAAAATTTTACAAGTGTTAAAAAAGAGACATGTATCATCGTCACATTATTTAACACATCACATCACATTTACAACACTTTTACATCAATACTAATTAGAATAGTCACATCACTTGTTTGTAAGTTTTTTTGTAATTATGTTTGTACTTCTACCATTTTTCATTTCCTTTAGTTACACATTTCGATTTTGAAATGGAATTAACCAATCAGCTGGAGAAGATTGTGACACACAGACGCAACAATGGAAAAACTACCCTACATTGAATTGAATTGAATTCAATGTGCATTTACATACAATTCAGGACCAAACTTGAGTCTTGTGTGAAGAATACAATTATGACTATACAAATTACTCCAAATACGAGTAAAGTTAGGCTAAAAATCAAAAAATAAGGTTTTATGTTTTTTTTCAAAATACGACCATATTGCTCCTATTTTGAAACATGCGAATTTTTGCATTCTATTCTTATCACTCCTTTAAATATGAATAAACGGTAATCAAAGGTCATAATTAAATGTTTTAATTCATAATAAAATCGTAAAAAATCTTATAAAAATAATAAAAAATAATAAAAATATTTATAAAATTAAAATTCATTTTTTTTTTAAAATTACAAATTAATAAAAAATAGTAAAGATATACCTAGTATTAAAAAATAAAAAAATATGGATGCTTTTCCCACCGCCTGTACTACCTCCCTGCACCACCACCTCGGACCTGTGTAAATAAATGTCATTTTTTACAAAATGCCATTTTTCTAAAAATGTCAAAAAATGACATATTACTTTTTGAGAAAGCCAAAACTTACATTGAATCTTCCATTAATATGGCATTCCTTATGCTACTGGCTTTTTTTTCACGGTGACCGGAGGTTAGGGTGCAGGGGTGGTAGAGGCGGCGGTGATTTTTTTTACTTTTTTTTTTATTTTTTATTATTTAAGAAAAATTGAATTTTTATTTTATAAATATTTTTATAATTTTTTTTATTATTTTTACGTTTTTTATTTTTTTTATGATATTTTTATGAATTAAAAATATTTGTTCAAACACACATAATTAGTCCTATTAGCGAGTTAAAAAACAATGTAGTCGTATTTGTGATTATTGACTACACTGTACTCCTATTTAGATAATTAACTCTTGTGACTATTTTAAAAACATTCCAATCTAACGACCAACTCAAAGTTATTAGATATGTTTTTAATGGGACTGAAATTCTCTGGTCTGTTCTGATCTAGTCTGGTCTAAACGGGTCTTGACTAGTAGATGTCTGGTCTCTGTGCATTTTGCAACTTTCGGAATCTGATTTAGTCTTTAATGATTTGGTCTGGTCTGGTTTGAACCGGTCTTGTCTGATCTGGTCTGGACTGGGACTGAAATAAGTACAAAATAAAAACATCCTATGTCGGCCCCCAGTGATCCGTCCTGACTCGCAACGACCCTCAATGATCCCGACGCTTCAACAACTGGTCAGTGAGCACTCAATTGGTTAGTGACAAACTTACACTGACTCTGACAGCCTGGTGAACTAACGTGACTCCCATCGACATTAATGTGGTATATAATGTGTTTCTCTTTAATTCATTTCTTCTCGGATGTATGCCATTGTTTTCTTTTGAATGTATGCCTTCGCCCTTCTTTGAATGTATGCCTTCGCTTGTCTGAATGTATGTTTAGGACTTAGGATATATTCTTCCGGGTGTAGTACTTCTTGTAGCTCTCGGCTACCAGTAATCCTTAGTCAGTTGATCCTTTCACCGAGGGCACAATGCTCAGGACTTAGAAAATATTTCTAAGTGTTTGTTCATCTGTTGGCCCCCGGCTGATCCTTCCCTCCGGTTCTATGTAGCCTTTACGAGATGACCGGAGGTGCGGTGCTTAGGACTTAGAAAATTCTTCTAAGTGTTTGAACACAGTTTTAGCCTTCGGTAGTTGGGCACCCTTCGCTGGATGTATGGCCGAGGGCCCAGCAATAGTTAGGACTTAGAAAATTTTTCTAAGTGTAGTCTCACCAAGCCTTCAATCGCGTGGCACCTTGGGCAACATGGAGATTTGACCGAGGGCCAAAATATGTAGGACTTAGAAAATATTTCTAAGTGTAGTATGTGTGAAGTAGGAGCCCTCGGGTGACTGTGAGGGCCTTGTCTCAGATACGCCTTCGGTTGACTGATGGCTCCACAAGGGGCAAAGTATTTAGGACTTAGTTTTTTTTTAAGTATTTCCTGCTGCTGGCCTTCGGGGGAGGACCCTTCGGTTGTAGGCGTTGTATGTTTAGGATAGTTTCCTTTGCCTTGTGATGTTGGCTTGTGACAATAAAAGCCTTCGGTTGTTTGTCATATGGTGCCCTTCGGGGATTTTTTTGAGAACATTGTGCCTTCGGTTTTAGGTATAGCCGGAGGCAATCCTTGAGTGGACTTAGCCATTCGTTGATGATGTCTGTTGTGAACGGTATACTTTGTACTTGTGAACTTCCAAGGTACCGAAGGTGTTCCCGTGGGGAGCCCTCGGTATGTTTTTGTAAATGATTGGAGTGAAGTGCTCATTGATTTGTCGCCGAGTCTACTCCCCTTCACCACCCTATATATATATATATATATATATATATATATATATATATATATATATATATATATATATATATATAGAGTAGTGAAGGGAAGGCTTCAAGAAACTTGGTTTCTTGGTAAGGCTTGGCCTATCGGGAGGTAACAGAATACACCATTAGCTCCCCCCTCGAGCTAACCTTCCGAGTTCCGAGGGGATCGAGGGTCATTTCTGGGCACAAGATATGGTGGTCGGTAACCTGCCTCCCCTTGGGGGACGGCGCGGAAAGCGCCTCAGTTTTGAAAGTCGTCCCCTCGGCGCTAGACATAGTCCGTGGCCTGCCACACCCTTGGGGTGGTGGCGCGGGGAGCGTTTCGGTTTGGAAGTCGAATCCTGGGCATTTCTCGTGCCTGTCATACCCTTGGGGTGATGACACGGAAAGCGTTCCGTTTTTGAAAGTCGAATCCTGGGCATTTCTCATGCCTGTCATACCCTTGGGGTGATGACGCGGAAAGCGTTTCAGGGAAGGGTTTTCATTTGCACACTAGTTGCAAATGGCCGGGTGCACTACGTGCTGCCGGCACCGATAGGTGGCGCCTTCGGTATAGGCGTCCTCGAGGGGTACGGCTTAGAAACAACACTTGGTGTTTGTTCCGATGTATGGCCCCCGACACTTGGTACCGAGGGGTCTTCTGTAAAAACACTTGGTGTTTTTCCTTCACTTGTCGTAGGGGATTGCGGTGTCTACCCTTGGTACCTGGTACCGAGGGGTCTTCCGTGAAAACACTTGGTGTTTCCTCCCACTTGTTGAAGGTGATTGTCTTGTCTACCCTCGGTATTGGGTACCGAGGGGTCTCCTGTGGGAACACTTGGTGTTTCCTCCCATTGGTTGAGAGTTGATAATGGTGTACCCCCCCGGCACCAGGTGCCGAGGGGTCTTCTTTTGAGGACGAATGGTACTTTGTTGTAGGTGACAGTATCGTCTACCCTCGGCACTTGGTGCCGAGGGTTCTTCTAATGTGTTGAGGCCTTGGGCCTGAGGGTGATATGAGGGCTTGGCCCTTGTGATAATCTCGTTCTATGTTCCCGGTGTCTTCAAAATGCCTTCATTCTTCAGAAATCTTTAGGCCTTGGGCCGTAAAATAATACATTCACTAGTTATGAGGGCTTGGCCGCTCTGATGTTATTGATAAAATTTGACTAAGTGATGTACATTCCAGTGCCTAGGGACTTCGGTCCCGTTAGGGCGTTTTAGTTTGTAAGTTCCTGGTTTGATGATGGCTGCCACGATGTAGGGGCCTTCGAATTTTGGTGCCATCTTTCCGCCCTCGGTTGGTTGGCTAGCTTCCCTTCTTCGGAGGACGTAGTCCCCCACTTGGAATTCCCGGGAGCGAACCCTGGCGTCGATGTAGCTCTTCACCTGCCTTCGGTAGTTCTCTGCGCGAATGAAGGCTTGCTCCCGGCGTTCTGAAATAAGGTGGAGATCGAGGGCCATGTTGGTGTCGTTGGCCTCCGGATCATACTGCGTGACCCTTCGGGTTGGGAGAGTTACCCCAGTGGGGGCTTTGGCTTCAAATCCGTAGCAAAGGGAGAAGGGTGTCTCGCCAGTTGCCCGCCGAGGGGTGGTACGGTAGGCCCATAAGATGTTGTGGAGCTCTTCTACCCAACCGCCCCCTTCGGCCTCCAGCTTCTTTTTTAGGCCTTCGAGCAAGGTCCTGTTGGCGTTCTCCACTTGTCCGTTGCCCTGAGGGTAAGCAACGGATGAAAAGGTGTGTTTGATGCCCCATGCCTCTAGGAGGGCACAGAAGGGGGCTGCCTCGAATTGAGTCCCGTTGTCGGAGATGATTTGCTCAGGGACGCCAAACCTGGTGAGGATGTTTTTGAGAACAAAATGACGGCACCTGGCCTCAGTGATGCTGGCGAGGGGCTCTGCTTCCACCCATTTGGTGAAGTAATCGATGGCGACAATGATGTACCTGTTGTTGGAGGTACCCCTCGGCAGAGGGCCCACAAGGTCTATGCCCCATTGAGCGAAGGGTATGGATGTGATGACGGGGGCATAGTTGACCGCTGGCCTGCCGGGGGCTTTCTGGAAGTGTTGGCATGCGAGACACCTCCGGGCAAGATCTGCACAATCCCGGGCCATCGTAGGCCAGAAGTAGCCCTGGATTATCAGCCTTCGGGACATGGAGAAGGGTCCCTGGTGAGCTGAGCAAGTCCCACTGTGCACTTCCTATATTGCTACTTCGGCTTCATCTTGATGAAGGCACCAAAGTTATGTCCCGTTGTAGGATCTTTTGTAAATCCCTCCGTCCTCGATCACGTAGCTGGGAGCCCTCAATTTTGTCAGTTTGGCGCGGGCCTCCTCCCTGGGCAGTTGCCCTGTGGTGATGAAGGCAACAATGTCTGAGATCCAGTCCTCCTGTCTT